TTATGAGTTGCTAATCGTTTAGTTATCTTTTGATATTTTTTCGCTTTTACTCATTGAAATATATTGTGTGAAGATCAAAAACAACGTTATTAATAATTTGGTAAAGAAAAATATCCTTTTACTAGCTGAAATTAATCTTCGAAAGCATTTCTGAATTGTTTTCCGGATTTTGGACTCATCCATCTGGCAACACTGTACCGGACCGAAATTTTCTGTGATAATCTGGCAGATATCAAGAAACAAAAGGAAAAAATATACAATTGTACAAAAAAGTTACAATTCTCTCACATGTATATTTTTTCTTCTAATGAAATTTCGTAACGAAGTATTTTTTTTAAAAAATGCACAAAAATATAACCAAAGGTTAATAAAAAACCCGGTGCATTCGATAGCTTTTGAAAAGATCTATCTGATTATGAAGTTTCTTTAAAATTAATTTGCCATATAAGCGAATAAAATACACTATAAGTAGTTTTTGTTACGGAATTTCATCAAAAATCAGATGTTTTTATTTGTGATGATTCAATCATTTTTTTTGTAAGAAGCTCACTAGAAGAAAAAATGATATTACCATCACTTCATAACTGCATACAGGGGTAGGTAGTGACATCTGCCGTATATACTATCGTTAGTACCCTTTCAATTGACATATTTAGTTTTCTTGATTTTTTAATTTGAACCTCTCCCCATGCATGGATGACCGATGCATGGCCATGTCCATTGCTCTTCCTCGGAAAACTTCCTTACAACAATTTCATGTACAGTTTTCACTCACTGCAAGGCTCTACTTTTTACCATATAAACGATCTGGACAAGAACTAGAAGTGATATCGACGTGAAAATCGTTACGAAATCCTTTTTTTTATACGGAATTAGTAAAAGCCTTCTGAATTTTTATCTGCGAAAAGAACATTCCCGAAATCTCTTCGACAATGATGATCCCTTGTCTTTTTCATTCATTGTAGTAATTCCCAATGTTTCAGAAAAGAAGCGATGGGTACTGATTAGGATCGACATTTGGGTATTAAGTAGAGATGGACAACTACACTATATCCTGCTCCAACTCCACATAACTCCAGTCCTATTTTCTAAAACTCCACATCAATTTCAACTGCAGTGTGTTTCGCTCCAAGCTCCATACCACTCCACTCCTTTTTTTCTAAAATCCTACTCCAACTCCGATTTAGCTTCAATTCCAGTCGAATTTCAGAAAACTGAACTTCTACCAAAACACTCTTAAATACACATAAGTTTTTTAACATAATTAAATCTACGATTGATATCAATTAGTAGCATATTAATCTATTGTTTTATAAACTTTCTCATAAAATCCAGAGATAGGCACCTTCACTCTCATTCTGATGAGAAATAATGTCAACTTTGGAGTTGTAATTGCCCATCTCTGATATCAACCATTCCAAAATACTTACTCTTCAGATCCTCCTGAACATATCCATAACATGCAAGCTTACAGAAGACTTCTCAGAACAAGTACTACATAAGGATTATAACATGATCCTCATAGAAGATACTCATTATTTTTAGATTTTCAGATTTTGACAGAGTATCTTATTTAGTCATCAAAATTCTCTTTGAGGACCCTTATACAATGGTTTGAAGATGGTATTCATCAAAAGTTAAAAATAGCATTTTAGGACACTTTCTTTTCAAAGCCCATAAAATCCATAGATTCCAATGTTTGTCACTGGAGAACTCCGTTCGGATTGATATCCATCTTTTCAGCATTTGCAAAAGTAGAAGTCCCTTCAGATTAAATAGATTCGCGTGGAATTCTCTCAACATTGTTCAATTTCTCCTATATCCAAACCTTCTCATGATCTTACTCAGAGTACAGCACGGTTGTTCTTCGAACAGCTTCACATAACTTACCAAAAGCCCATGCAAATACTTAGAAGATTCTTCGGCAGATCTACATTCATCATACAGAAAATCATGTATCCTTAAGGTTTCCTAAAAAACATAGGGATTAAGTTTGATATTTTGTTGTTCAATGATTCGATATTCTTCTCACAAGATACAAATAGAATCTTCTCTGATGTTCATATAAATGATCATTCTGCCAAAACGATTCTGAATTTTTGCAATTCTGAAAAAAATCCTCAGATCCTTATGTTTTTCTATCAAAAACTTACATAGAATTAGTATTACTCTTTCTTGGAGAACCTCCTTACAGCAATCTCCAGGTGTCATTTTTATGATCAAAAAGATCTTAACAAGAACTAGAAATAACACAGATGTAAGAATCATTACCAAATCATTTTTTTCTCATAAGAAACTAGGAAAAGACTTCTGAATTTTTATCTGCGAAACGAGCATTTTCAAAGACGAATGTCCTATTTCTAGCGCTTGCTCCCACGAGAGACAGAATCCCTTCGATAACGACGATTTCTTTTCTTTTTTGTTCATTGTAGCAATTCTCAATATTCCAGCCGATGCCCGATGGGCCCAGAATGGAGTGACTGTTGCTGGAGGTCGTGGAAGAGGCAGTGCCACCAATCAACTCTACAACCCTTTCGGTCTCTTCGTTGATGATGATCAAACGATAGTCATCGCTGACTCCGTCAATCATCGTATCATCCAATGGAAGATGGGTGATACGAATGGACAAGTTGTAGCTGGTGGCAATGGCCAAGGAAATCGATTGGATCAATTGAATCTACCAAGCGATGTGTTGATTGACAAAGAGACGGATAGTCTCATTATTTGCGATACTAGGCGAGTTGTACGATGGTCTCGTCGTAGTGGTACAACTCAAGGAGAAATCCTCATCGACAACATCTGGTGTCGGGGATTGACCATGGATGATCAGAGATATCTCTACATCTCTGACATCGGCAAAGATGAAGTAAAACGATATCAAATAGGAGACAAGAATGGAACTCTTGTGGCTGGTGGCAATGGCAAAGGTGCTGGCCTCAATCAACTCAACTGGCCGGCCTACCTCTTTGTCGATCAACAACAGACTGTCTACGTGTCAGACAGGGACAATCATCGTGTAATGAAATGGAATAAAGGTGCAAAAGAAGGAATTGTCGTCGCTGGAGGTCAAGGCGAAGGGAATGCTTTGACACAATTGTTGTATCCTGAAGGACTGTTCGTCGATATATTGAGTACCATCTATGTGGCAGACTCGTCGAATTATCGAGTAATGC